AGTAGAGTCAATAGAGTTGAGTAAGTCCTTGTTTCTTTCCCTTTTACGTTGAGGGAGCTAGTAATGTAAGTGCTCGTCATGAAGATAGTATAGGAGAATATGGCCCCAATGATAGCAAGAGCGAGCAGGGAAGCCCATGAAGTTGGGCCCGTTTAAACGCCTTTTAACGGCCGTTTGATGGTTGTTTAAGGTAGGTCTCAGGAGTTAAGTTTAAGGAAGATAAGATGTGCCAGTTATAATTACCAGGATCTGCCAGCGGTATTTGATTGAAAGAGTGCGGTACCGGTACGAATTACTTTTTTGAATTAGATAGCCCCTCCTCTAATTCCACGAATAGATTCGATCCATTAGATTATTTTTTACTCTTTCTTCTTTAGATTGCACGAGTTTTCTGAGCCTTAGTTTGCAGCTTTTGTTGAGCCTGCCTACCTTTCCTTCTTTCATTCTTTGTTGGCTCGCAGTGAGGGATATCGATTACTGGTCGTAAGAGGCGGGATATCTGGTTCAGCAGCAGATCCTAATTACCCTTCTGGTGACCAAGAAGCAGGAGCGGGTAGTGGATTCTGCAGATTTATAGTCAGTTTGTTCTCGTCCCCACATAAAGAGAAACAAAGCGAGCAGTACCCTTTGGTGTTCTCTACCATGAGTCAAGGGCTAGGAATCCACTGAATAGCTAGTAAGATAGATTGTGTCTAACAAGCTAAGAATCTCCAGGTCGTAAGCCTTTATACCCAGCTCTAGCTTTTTCTAATTCTATATTTCTTTACTTCATTATATCATTCTCAGTTGAATTTCCTTCGAAAGATATGGCTTCTGGTTGTTGTGTCCGATAATATAAATAGTCTCCGCGAATATTAATGATTCTACAGTGGCATAGCTCCAGACATGGGCTTCTTCCCTTCAAACTATGGGTAGCCAGATGTTTAGCAATAGGATACCCTTACTTAAGTAAGTCCGCACTTGGGCATAGTATAGGTTTGCCACTTAATCCACTATCAATGTATCAATGGTGGTGGTCCTTCTGTGTAAAGTTAGCTAGTGTGGATTCGCCAAACAACCTCTTGACAAGAGCCTATTCATTTAATTCTTGCTATTTCCGCACCCCTGTCCGGTCCGGTTTTTTGAGAAAGAAAGTCGAGACATTCAGAAAGAGAGTTATGGCATTTCTAGGATTAGAATACGGTCCTATTGATTCAATCTTTATGCTTGGCACGGAACTCTTGTTTCGAGTGAAAGGGAGAGCTGTGGCCCGCACCGCATTCACAGGTAAATTTCCCTCTACGGGGCGGGGTGTGGAAAGCACTATAAGTTAGTTGACTTCTCGACTTCTTACCAGTATTCCTTCTCTTACTAGCCTAGCTTGATTCTTTATAAAAGACTAACGGCAAAGATTTTCTACCTCCTGTAAGCTCGTTACGCTTAACGCCCACTTACTTAAAGACTCGTTGGTTTACGACTCTATAAATTTTAATAATAATTTGAGTCGTTACCTACAGAAGCAGTTGCCCTTCTCCGGATTTACCCGGTGAGGGTGGCGCTTGTGAGTCAAAGTTGAGACTTTCCATGTATGTTTGGCATCCTGGGAGAGTAGTCCTAGGTACTGAAGTTACTCCCGGGTAGAGAAAGAAAGTGCTGGCAGAAAGGAACTCTCAAAGCATGGGGTTTCGCCGGGCGAAGCTCCTATCCCCAAAGGCTGTTGTCGGCATTTCCGTTCTTTGCATGTTAGCACTTTTACCTGACCCTTTGTCACTACTTTCTGATCATGTGGATGCCGCTCTTAGAGAATCCGCGAAAGGACACTGTGAGGGGGATGGGTCCTAGCTACTTCTTTCATACCAAGAAAGATAAGAAGGGATGCTTGCTATCATTCCAGTGCCACTGTCCAATCTGTGAGTCCATATTTTGGAATATAATTCCCAAGCAAAGGATTAGAAGGTAAGGTGCCAAGTTCAAGGCAAAGCTTAGTCGGATTTTTCCCCTACCCCTAGGTTAACTACCTTTAGCTTTCGATAAGACAGTTCAAGCAGAAGACTAACTTGAGGATGTCACGTGGAAGCTTTCCTAAATCCATTTGACCGGAGCCGGGATAAAAACTACTTATATATGTAAGGATATACCACCGAACCTGTGAGCCTTCCCAAATTCAACAGATTCCACTATAGCAAACTCTTCAGATCAGGAATCGCCTTTATTTTATATTTTCTTTCACGCCCTGAGCCTGAGCTAACTCATTTATCTTTCGGTCTAGTCCAGTTCGGCGTAGCTCCAAGCGAAAACATCAAAGAATTCTCTGAGTAGATCCATGTACTGTCAAATCTCTTTCATTTGAGAAGCTTGCACTTAGGAATACAGGGCGAGGATTGTCAACAGTCCCGAGATCCATTTACTTGACCTCGTCCTCTTTAGGGGGCACATGCTCTACATCCAATTCTTGAACTTACTCTCGTCTCTTTGCTCTTTGTTTTACGTTTATATACAATTGGAAGAGATCTGAAAGAAAGATCTCCAGAACTTTCGGCGTAAGACAAAGTTTTCGGCGCAGGGAGCGGAGTTGGCAGGTAGCCCAAGCCTATGTTTTCTGAGATCGACGTACTGGCCGGCTAGCCAAGCTTCCCTTTCTTCTTCACTTAGATGCGGCTCGAGGGGTACTTTTCTGCCTCGACCGTTCTTCACTTCAGCCCGACAGGCTCCTCAAGGTCATAGCCCATGTCCTTCGCTTCTTTGCAATCGGACTGTACTTTCTCTTTCTTATCTCACCATCGGTGACGATTCTTTCCAGCGTAGAATAAGACTTCCGGGCTACCCTGTGAAAGATGAGGAAAAAAACCCTCCATTGAGAGGACGAATGTCGCTCCACTCCATTAGGGTCCTCTGCCTGAGAAGGTTGCTGTAATGCAGGAAGTGGCATCTTTACCGAGAGTTGAAGTAATTCCCCCAGCCCCAGTTTAGAGATTTCGTCAACGGGGTCATGCTCTTTGAGATAGCGTTGACCGTAAATCCCTTAGCTTTCGAGGGATTCGGAGAGGTCTACGAACCTGTGCTTCGGCTTTCGCTGGCGGGCTTTCGTCATCCATCACTGTCTGGGCCGTCGTTGTAAAGACGCGCATCCGTACAGACAGTATGCCTAGACTCCTTTAAAAAAGGGCTTATTGTCGGCAAATACCCAGTTTCTCCCTTCTCATCAACGTATTTGAAGCATTGATGAAGGGTGGAAGGTACCACGCTGTGGATCCAAGCAGGAAGTTTAGGAGGTGTCACCGTCAATCACGTAAGAAGTGACCTCAGTCTTCAGATCCGCACACACAAGAGACGAATCTTGCCGATGGCTCTTTGCGAGTCGGCATTGTACCCCGGAATAGTAACCTTGGTCTGACTTAGCCGGCTCGTAGGAAGGAATTCCTAGATCGGCTAGGGCCCGCAGTGGCATCACGTTGATGGAGGCCCCAGGGTCCCGCGGTAGCCTTCTTTCGCCGATGTCACCGGTGAGATAAAGGGGCCGCTTATGTATGCTTCTTCCTGTCCAGCAAGATGTCTTCTGTCGATAAGGTTATATCTGCACTCTGGACTTTCTTCATTGGTGCTTCCATGTACTCATCTTCGATGCTTTGAACTTCCACCCTGTTGACATGTAGGGCATACTTTTCTTTGCTTCCTTCCTACTACTAAGCTGCTTTCTTTATAGGCTAAAGCCTCCTATCTACGGTAGCTGACGCAGCAAGACCCGAGGAATCGGATACGGATCTTTTTCAGTCTCTTTCGCTGGGGCAAAGCAAAGAGGGAGGACTTTCGGAAGAAGGCGTCGTCCGCTGATGATCTTGAGGTTGGGAGGCAGGTCAGGGGGAGAACTAATGCTTGTGGATAGCCCGCGAATACTCCTTACTTAGGCTTTCCCCCCGGAAGAGCTGATGCTACTTACTAAGAGACTTCCGTTAGTGAGGAGAGAACTATAGGCTTTAGCCCAAAGACAGAGTCAGGGATTTCTTAACAATCTAGTCCCTCCTGAAATAAGACAACACAGGGGGTGGAGTGAGCCTAGAGTAGAATAAGACTCCCTCTTAGACTCTCAACTCATACCAGGGCGGGCTGGGAAAGACTGAGACTACCGATACCGAGCCGGGGTTGGATCACAGGATAGATACCCTATGGTTGGTCTCTATGCCTGCTTCACTTCGTAGCATTAAGGGGGCAGTGCCATGAGGGAAATCGACTAGGAACGCGATGTCTTCCCAAAAAATGAAGAGTGGAGGGGACTTCGACTGCCTTCTTGTATCGGGTGAAGAGAAGGGGGTGCTAGGCTTAGTAGGGCTCGAACCTACAATATTACCGTTATGAGCGGTACGTTTCAACCAATTAAACTATAAGCCCCTACGGATCTCTACATGCAATTCGCTCACTTCGGGAAGAGTGGACGGAAAGAGGAGGCCTTTGCTCTATCTGCTTCTTCCTCTTCCCAGGAATGAACAATTGGATAAAAAAATAATTTTTTTCTTTGTTTGTATATATATATAATAAAATTAAGATTAAGCAAGCGGCCCTTTCGTGACTCAAACTGCCGGTACGCTTTCCGGCTCGCAACGACTCAAACGGGCGGGGGCTATCTATTTGCTTGCAAAGCGGGCTGTTCGCCTTTCGGATTCGGAAAGGGCTCGCCTATTTGATTCAAAAGGCGCTACTAAACTACTCTAGTACAGCTAGTGTTAGTAGTACAACAGAATGCCGTTCACCCCGCAATCCCTTCTTCTTCAAGAGCTCCCTATTCTCTAGCAGCCCCTTCTTTCACAGCTCCTTCTCAAGCACTTGCCATTGTCTGGAAATTTGCCTTGCCCCATTCTTCGATTATTGGCGCATCAATTCCTTGCCTTTGCTCTCATTGCTGCTTGAAGTCCAGTCTTTTAAGTTAAATCCCAAAAATGGAAAGTCAGTAGTCATTGTCGGGATGGAAAGCGACTCTTCAACCACTTATTTAAGCGCTATGCACCTAAGCTCAGTCTTTCTGGCAGCTATGCCTTCCAGAACCAGGGGTATTCGAGCCAGCTGCGTACGATTAGCCAGCCTTGCGGCTGCAAAAGGATTAGACATCCTCCCATGCTACGGTTCCCTGCGGTCCGAACCCGGTGCCGCATTAGGTTAGGGAGCTGGGCTTTTTTCGCTCCTCTCACATTCATTCGTTCGAGCTGCTTCGCTCCTCCGCATCCCAAAGCGCGCTGCCCTCCTAGGCGCGAAACACTAAGTAATCCAAGCCAACCCACATTACTGACTAACGGTGGATAATCATATTTCTTAGAGGTACTAAATACAACTCCATGAATGAGCAAAATGGAGGTTGCATTAATGATAAAGATCTCTGGGGAAACCGCTAAAAAAAGATTGAACATGTGGTGGGAGGATCCGAACGAATTTAGTTTTCATTTTCCCGTATGGAGCACTTAGTGATAAACGTTACGATATTCAACCGGCAGGTTGGTTGCCCCCCGTCCTTTCTTGCTCTCGGTCCCACCCAGTGCCGCTACCCACCTCTACTCGGATCTCTTCCTAGAGCCATAGATCATAGTTTCTTACCGCCGTCATAAGACGTTGGAAGGCCCGTGTGTCTCGGGTACCCAACCGGTAGATACTTCGTAGATGGGAGCGGTACTGCCGCACGGATAGTGCCCTACCTCGATGATAAAAGATTATCCCTCTTATCCGATGGCGGTTCTCAAAGATCCGAGTCGGATTGAATCCGCTATGAACTAAAGCAGATTCTATTAGCCTTTCTATCCTGGTTTGTACCGATATAGTATCGCTAATTCTACGTAGGGTTGGATTTTCCCCGAACGTATTGACCAATAACCGGGAGTAAAGCTCCCCCTCCCTTTGGAGGTCCGGTATTATTTGCTGCGCTAAAACCGGAACCTCCGGGGGAGCTGGGGGCACCTCCCAAACCTCTGGGGCAGCGGGGGGCACCTCCCAAACCTCTGGGGCTACCCGAATCCCCACAACTGGCGGTGAAGGAGGTCCCTCCACACCTCCCACCCCATCGCCGGTTAGCTACTGAGATAGCGTGGCTATTGATGGGTGTTGAATGATTCTTGATAACGTGGTTTAGAGCTAACATAGATTCAGTTGGGGTAGAGGTCTTGTAGAGCCTGATTGACCAGTTTCCCTGATGAAGAAGAAAAGAACTCGACTTTGCCAAAGACATATGAGGCATACTCATCTGAGTCTTCGGGTCCAGAAGTCTATACTACCTCCTAAATAGGACTCATTTGGTTAAGCAGTAGATCCAGCTTATGACTCTATTAGATAGACGATGCTCAGATAATCCAGTTCTCTAACGTTAACTAAGAATACTATAAGAGGAGAAGTCGACTCATGTACTCTATCTACGAAACCTGCCGTGCCTTTATCGTTGGGGATAATATTCTTGATGGCGAGTGGTTGAGTATATAAGAGAAAGGCAGCTTTTAGGAGTGATCTTTCTTTACTTCGGAGTAGAATAGGTGCAAGGGGGGATTACTCTTAACTAACTAAGCCTAAAGGCTATCCAGCTTAAGGATGAAATTATTTAGACGGGAATACCCCGTCGGTAGCAAAGGCAGAAGGAAAAGGCAGGAATGCACCTTAAGGGGGAGTTCCTGGGTCACGAGTTGGGCTTGCACCAGCGCTTTCCAAATGCATGGTCCGGATTTCTTTCTGATCGTTTGATAACTCGGTTCGTCCTCGACAAAAGGCAAGACTAATGAAGACTACATCCGGGGGGAGAAGGGGTTCTTCTCCCAAAGTCCGTCGGGCCGACGACAACCCACGGCAACCATACCAAGACCTAATGAGATATTTTTATCTCTCCCTCCGTTTTTGGCACCAAAAACCAACCTGTCAGCCCGGCCAGGGCGCACGGAGGTGTGTCCCGGAAAAAAAAATAAATATACCAATCCCGATCCATTAGGTTCTTCGATGTGTTCGTTTACAAAGTCAGTCCCTTTGATCTTTCTCCCAATCGGCAATTCTCACAGCTAACTCGATGTGGAGTTTGGAATTCCTCAATTAATCTTTATGTTCGACCATATCTTCTAGAATGTTAAGGATTCTGAGTCGCTTCCCTGGGGAAGCTCTTTCGAGCTTCAGATCCTCCGGACAAAGTTTCTTTAGAACTGTGGAGGAGGTTCTCCGCCCTTTTATAATATAGAAGATTCGGAGAATCTTTTCTTTTAACCATGAAGGACTAGGAGCTTCCGGCCCCATGACCTCGGTTGGTTGATTCGTAGCAAGGGGCTCCTCCTGGTTTGGGTCCGAAGATGACCCCTCCTCTGGAAAAAACCACTTATCTATCCACGAGCCACTCCACGAGGAAGAGGAGGATGCACCACCTAAGGGGCCCGCTGGAGCAGGAGCTTGCTGTGAAGCTGGCAGGTCCATCGGTGGGGTTTGGAAAGCAGGGCTTTGTTGGCCGCTGGATGGTTCGGGAGTGGAACTTCCCTCACGATCTGAGGAGAGGTTTAGGTACTGTTTCCAATTTTCCTCGTTGGTACATTACAGGTTCCACCCTCACTCTCTCCCTTACGCTGTGCTCTACCTCTCGGGCTAGTTTCAAGTTCGATCATAGACGCAAGCAATCTAGTATAGCAAGCCTTTCAAAACAAAAGGCTACTCCTTTCTTTGCAACTGGAATAGAGGGACTGCTACTTCCGAATCCGGGAAGTCCTTCTCGAAAGAGTCATCTAAGGCTTTTCGACTTCAACTTGCCTTTAAGCCGGCCAGTCTGCTTCTTCGAGTGAGGACTTGCTCGGCCCAGCTCGGTTCTCTCACTACCCGAAATCCTTATCTTATATAATATGGATCCGGGCATTTCCCTTAAGATCCAGCGCCTGCAGAAGTAAAGTGATAGGAGAAGCTGCTGGTGGGAAATCTCTATTCATCACACCCCTCTCACCCGAGCCTCCTGGAAAGACCCTTGGTCTCCAATCTGCAGATGAGTGTCTTCCCTCTTATCCCTTCCCCATTGTTTGGGTTTCATTTCAAGAGCTTGCCTTAGTATGAATCCCATCTACGGCTGAGTCAATAGCACCCTCCAACTTTAGTGATTCAATTGCAAACAGAAAGACAACTGCAGTTGCTGGACTAGCACTTCAATTAGCTGTGACAGTATCCGTTGGTGCGAGTGAGCGTTCCCGCTGCATCGAGAATGGTAAAGTCTTCAATTAACCGGTGTAAGCCTATCCACTCTTACTATGAGGGTTTCCGGTGTGCTAGAATCAGCAGCTATAGAATCTGCCTTACCTTCTTGACTGGTGTTACCGGTATGGGAGTACGAGTAGTTGGTGGTGAAGACAATGATAATCGTCGTGGGGGATATTACTTGACTTCATGTCTACCCGGTCCCAGTTATTTTTGGTGAATGCGTAGACGCAGTTGGTGAAATAGAAGCTCTTTAAATAGCCTTTGGCTTACGTAAGATCTATCTCTTCTCTAACAGCTATTCTTTGAAAGAGCTTTCGCACTTCAAATCAGATAGCGAAAGTCAAAGCTAGTTCCTCTTCCAATATACTACCGCTACCTTAATCCTATCAAATATAAATATTTATCCTTTGAATTACTCATATATATCCTATGTATTAATTTAATTTCGCACCGGAAACTATTCTAGGAGAAGTTCGAATCCGTTCCGTTCGGATATTGATCGGTCTTGGTTTGACATGGTTTACGCGTTACTGGTTCCCGGAAGAGTTAATATCTCCATTAGCTAAACCCTTTCTTACCCTGTCTTTGGACTCGTATTTTGTTTGTACACAATCAACGGAGGCCTCCCCGACATATGTTGCAACGTCTTCAATAGCATGTTCTTACTTCGTCTTTCCCTTAATAAGTCATCAAATTTGGTGCTTTTTGATCCCCAGTTGCTATGGGGAACAAAGGAGGAAATACAATCGATTCCTCTATTTAAGTGGTTCTCGCTTCTCCTTGTTCCTGTTCCTAACTCTTCCCCGGGTAGTTCCCAATGTTTGGTACTTTCTATACTTCGTGGGTGCAACATCAACAAATTCGCTCATGATCAAGTTACAACCTAAGATCTATGACCATATTATGCTAACTGTTCGTATTTCGTTCATTCCATCGGTATGCTCTCAGGTACCTGTAATTGTGATCTGTTTGCCAGAACCAAGGGGTCTTTCTGTGGAAACCTTCACGAACAATCGTCGTTTTTTGATGGTTTTTCCGCTTCTCACCGCTGCTCTTTCCACACCTCCGGATATCTGGTGCCAAATCGTCGCCCGTTTCCTTATTTCTTCGATAATTGAGTTGACTATCTTTGTGGCATCGATTGTACAAGTTCGCGAAGAGGCTGGACGAGTGGAATGAGGGAAAGCGGCTCGATTGACAAAAAAGAAGAGTAGCCCCCTCTGGCAAAGTAACTATAAAAGAATTCCTGAGTAATTCTCAACCAACATATGCGATTCATTCCCGTCTTAAAAAACAAATAAGACTTATAAATCAAGCAGTTAGGAAGTCCTAGACTTTAAGCCAGGCTGCTTAATTATTCTATTGAGTTGCCTACCCTCAGGTCATTCGCTGCCTTAAGCCCTACAGTTTCTTCGCTAGCCGTTGTTGGGACTTAGTTAAGAGTTAGCCTAGAAAAGAAAGGCTTTGAAAGCAAGTCAAGCATTCCAATCCCAGCGGATTAATCAATAGCAGTAGAGTCGTAAACAAGAACAGCAGAGGCTGAACAAGTCACTTCCTTAGAGCATGAACAAAACAATAAGTTAGGTCGTTTGATTATAAAATTCCTACTTTTTGTTTAGGAGATTTATTGAACAAGCCTTCTAAATAAAGGCGAAGAAGAATCATCGAACTAATGGACTTACCGCTCGCTCCCAGCCAACAAGCAGTTAGCCTTCTTTTCCAAGGAATTAAAATGTGGATGACTGGACATCAGCAATAACAGGAGCCGAGCTTTCACAAAAACATACGAACCTACCATCTCATTTAAGGGGTACTTAAATCAACGTGTCAATCATCCCTACCCCGGATCTTTGGACTTAATGTCTGATTTTTTTCTGGGCCCGGGTTAAATATATGTCTTCAGCCGTATTTAAGTTATTGTTGCTGCTTGGGCACTTGGTTGAACCGGTACCTCAACAGCACTTGTCTTTGCCTCTCTCTGAGCAAGGTATGTAGGGTGCTCTATACCTTATTTATTTTATGCTTCTCTCTAGACTTGCTTCCTCCCTGGATCATTAAGTCCTTAAGTAAGGAAGTAAATAGTCGTCCCGGTAGTGGGAAAAGTCCGATTGCCTAGTAGCCCCAGCCAGTACTATAGGGAAGGCCTATTCTTCGTATAGGCAAAGCCTCACTATCTCTGAAACCCTGAAAATGATTCAATTTTAAATTTGATAAG